CCGTGAGGCGGCGGATGGAGCCGCGGCCCCGCCATGGGCACAGCTGCGGGCTGGACGCCGCTTCGCGCCGCCGGGGAGCGGAGGAGAGAGAACGGAGCGGAGCGCGGCGAGGGAGGCAGGTGGGGCGGCGCGGGGCGGGTGGGGGGAAGAGCGCGGAGCGGGCGGAGCGGCCATCCGCCGCCGGGTGCCCCGCACCGCTCCCACCCCGCGCTGCGCTCCGCGGAGGACGGCCGGCCGCGGCGCGGTGTGTCGGGCTGCGCGGCTCCGCTCACCTTCCCGCCCGGCGCGCCGTGCTCCCCTGCTTCGTTCTCCTTTTCCAGATGCGTTGCTGTTCCCGTAGAGCCTTCGCCGCTTCGCCCCAGGCCGTCGTGAGCGCGCCGGGAGGATCATGACCGAAGCCCTCATCTCTGCTGCTCTGAACGGGACGCAGCCCGAGCTGCTGGCCGGCGGCTGGGCCGCGGGAAACGCCACCACCAAGTGCTCCCTGACCAAAACGGGCTTCCAGTTCTACTATCTGCCCACCGTCTACATCCTCGTCTTCATCACCGGGTTCTTGGGCAACAGCGTGGCCATCTGGATGTTCGTCTTCCACATGCGGCCATGGAGCGGCATCTCGGTGTACATGTTCAACCTGGCGCTGGCTGACTTCCTGTATGTCCTCACGCTGCCCGCCCTCATCTTTTACTACTTCAACAAAACCGACTGGATCTTCGGGGATGTCATGTGCAAACTGCAGAGGTTCATTTTCCACGTGAACCTCTACGGCAGCATTCTGTTCCTCACGTGCATAAGCGTGCACAGGTACACGGGTGTCGTGCACCCGCTGAAGTCGCTGGGGAGGCTGAAGAAGAAGAACGCTGTGTACATCAGCTCACTGGTGTGGGCCCTGGTGGTGGCCGTCATCGCGCCCATCCTCTTCTATTCGGGGACAGGGGTGAGGAGGAACAAAACCATCACGTGCTACGACACCACGGCCGACGAGTACCTGCGGAGCTACTTCGTGTACAGCATGTGCACCACGGTGTTCATGTTCTGCATCCCCTTCATCGTCATTCTCGGCTGCTACGGGCTGATCGTGAAAGCTCTGATCTACAAGGACCTGGACAACTCTCCTCTACGGAGGAAGTCCATCTACCTGGTCATCATCGTGCTGACGGTCTTCGCCGTCTCCTACCTCCCCTTCCACGTGATGAAGACCCTGAACCTGAGGGCCAGGCTGGATTTCCAGACGCCGCAGATGTGTGCCTTCAACGACAAGGTGTACGCCACCTACCAGGTGACGCGGGGGCTGGCCAGCCTCAACAGCTGCGTCGACCCCATCCTCTACTTCCTGGCCGGGGACACCTTCCGCCGGCGGCTCTCCAGGGCCACCCGCAAGTCGTCCCGGAGGAGCGAGCCCAACGTGCAGTCCAAGAGCGAGGAGATGACGCTCAATATTTTGACAGAGTACAAGCAGAACGGGGACACCAGTTTGTGAACGGATGTGAAAGGTGTGGGGACTCCTTTTTGCAGTAACGCTGCATCCTGACACCGCCGGACAGCCCTGCGCACGCGTGTGTCGGGATGGTCTGCCATCCCCATTCATTTTAGATAAAGGCTCTTTTTCTAAGATTAGAAAAAGCTTAACACAGTAAGTGGAAGAATTTTAATCTTAGTGGAGAATAACATGTCAGAATTCAGCTCTCCTGCTCCTTGCAGAGTTCTCATTTCTTTCTGACTTGTGTCAGATGAAGTAAAATGAAGCAAATCCCCTGAAGGAAGAGAGCAATCAAAGTGCTTCTGTTTTAATGGCTCAGACTCCCACACTCCAAAAGGATCTTCGCCCGCCTCCCTTGCAAACAGGAAATGCAGACGAGGAGCTCAGCACGGCCCCCGGAGCTGCCCCTTTGGTAGCTGCCCACGGCCCCGGCGCGGCTGCCGGCTCTGCGCGCCGAGCGCTGCCGCTCCTTCCCGGCCTCGGCGATCGCCCGGAGCTTTGGCAGCACCGGCGCCGAACGCGGGCGCCGCAGAGCCGTGCCCACCGCCGCGCACGTCGGACGATCCGGGGGCACGGGCTCGGCGGAGGGGCAGCGGGCACGGGTCGCTCTGCAGGCGGGGCGGCAGCGCCCGGCACACGCAGTGCTGTGCGGCCGTCGGTGCCGGGCCGGGCCGCGCTGCCGGCTCTTCGTGCGGTTCGTACGGGGCAGCGCCAGGAGCGCGAGCTGGAAACAGCTCCCAGACGAGCGGGGCTGCGGTGCTTGAGCTGCCTGCGTCCCTCTGGGTGCGGGAACACCGCTGTGCTGCAGCCCTTCGGCAGCGCCTGTCGCTTCCCAAGAAAACAGTCATCAAAATGAAAACGTACACACGGACTGTGTTCTACATTGAAGTAGTTGAGAGGGAACTGATTTCTCGGTTTTGTGACACATCACTGCGTTAAGAGGACGTTGCGATATTCCGCAGACTAAACCCACTGCTCGGTGCATCTTCTCCCAACATGGAATAGGTCATCTAAAATTAGCCAGGTGTTGTGTAACGCGAGAGCGGTCGGAGCGCGGCTGAGCTCCTCCATGGGCGGTCTGAGTGCTTTCTCATATTTTTAAGAAACGTGTTTGAAAATATTGTGCTCAAACAGTATGAAAGCATGCTTTACGTTATAGATTCGGTGTGCAGAATCGGGTTCTGTGTGATGCTGGGGGTGACTTCAGCAGATCCTCGTTCCTCCGGTCTTCATGGTGAGTGAGACGGCTCTACGTTGCTCACGGACTCGAGCAGCCAGTAAGGAGCAGGAGCAGCCCTGGTCACAGCCGTGCTCAGCAGCTTCTGCTCGGACACACAGCTCAGCCTGCAGAATCCCTATTTATTGAACTTATTTATTAGAAGACTAAATGTCGAGTTTGTAAAGTGTGGTTCTGTGTTCATATCAGAATTGGGCATTAGTGGGAAATTTGGCAGCATGTTTAAGTCACTGTAATACCGCGTCTTCTGACAGAACGTCTTTATAATAAACTCAATTCCACCCTGATTTTCACTCTTCTATGTAACCCGGAGATAAATTAAGCTCATGGATTGCCCCTTGATAAATTAAACACTGCTCAGGAAGCACAGCTTCTTGAAGCAACATTACGATCTCATTTAGCACTGTAAGGTGAAGAACGCAAAGGGGAAAAGAACCCCAACCAGGGGTCAATTGCTAATTAATCCCTGCTGACAAACAGTGCCGAACAGCGCAGCCTGTTCACACCAACAGGGAAGGGCTGCGGTTCACAAGGAGCAGAGCTGCAGCGTGGGGCTGGGATGACGCTCCGAACCGCTGCTCTGGGTGGGAACCGGGTCTGCAGCTCTGAGTTCCCGGGGCTGTTTCTCTCTTTTCTGTCAGTAGGAAACACAACTTTTGCTAAGTCACACCTGTGAGTAGATCCTGAGTGGACGGGCAGGGCAGCACACGGAGCCTCGTGCCGGCACTCTGCTGAGCCGGGACCGCTGCTCCCGATGGCAGTGAGGGCACACCCGGCCCCTGCAGGACCTCGGGCGTTTCACACGGCTCGTTTTCCTCCTTTTTGCTCCCATAGTCCACAGCACAGCACTCTCAGAGCACGTCCTGCCCCGCTGCGTCCCCGTGGGCACAGCCCCCGCCGTCACCTGCAGGGCAACGACCCAGGGCGGACAGGTCATGGAGCCGGTAATTAGCAAGCGCTTTTGGCAGCGGGCAGTGCTGCCTTTACCCCTCATCTCACTGCAGTGCCAGCTGAGAGCCCATCTCCCCTCACTGCTCTGTGTCCACCTTCGGCTACAAACGGGGTTCCATGCACCAGGATTCCAGGTCACACCTCTGTGTGGGAACTGCTGAGTCCTGGCCTGAGCCACTGATGGAGAACCCGGGGAAAGGACCCGTGAGTCTTGTGAGCTCAGGTGAAGGCAGTTCAGTGGTGTGAGTGGAAGGGGTGAAGCCTGGCTGCACCGCTCGTAGACCCCATTTAAGGCCTGATTGCCACTGGGGAAGGAGATCTGGTTGGAGATTCCTGTCCTATGGAGCTTTCCCTGCAAGCCTATCTTCAGAGATGGGTGAGCACTTTCCTTTTTTCATTGCAACAGCTTTCTATCACGCTTGTCCCTTAGTCGTTATCCCTCCTGTATCACCATTACATTGTGTCGGTCCTTCTGATTTTTACATGCCTCTAACTTTTTTTCCTCTATCTGGGAATCTTTTAATGAATGCAGAAGATGCCAATACCAGCCTGAGGTAAGAATCTCTCTGTGAGCCTAGGACTGCCATTGCTGAGCATGCAGGGATCCATGCAGGAAGGTGTTGCTGTCAGCGGCTGCACTGTGCTGCTGCTCATGGGGCTGCTTTTCTTCTCATTTATGCCCATTAACTCCCACACATAGCAATCTTTAATACAAAATGAAGTCGGGATGAAACATACACAGGCTCTGCTGTCAGTTTAGGCACCTTCATAGAACAGCACTGAGGATCAGCAGGTCCCTTCCAGCTGAACCATCCTGTTTTTTCATACCCACTCTGTAGAACACAAAGGCTATGAGATGCTGGCCAAGGACTGTGAGCAGGCAGCACTGAGCACCTCAGGCCCCATCCCAGCCCACACGGCAGCAATGGTCTGAGCCCCACACCATCAGAGTTGGTATTTGTGAAAGCGTTTGTTTTCTACTGCTCTGTGATTTGATGTTGGTGAGCTCCATTTCTGAGGAGCTCCAGTGAGATCTGGCTTTGCAGCTCCCACAGAGACGCGTTACCTCTCAGTACTCCAGCTTTGAAGCTTCTTGGCTTACTCACCTGCTTTCATTAAATAGTAGTGAAAAAAATCCCGATTTGCATAATTATAGTGACCAAGAACTGTTCTTTCAGCCCAGCCCAGCCATGCTCAGTGCCAGGTACAGCTCTGCAGCCGGCACTATTTTTAGTGGCCCAGCACTGCAGCACGCAGCTCTGCACCTAGCAACCTGCATGGGAAGGGCTCAGCAGCAGCCTCCTCCTGCCTTTGTGCTCCTGCCATTAGCTCACACTCCCGGGCAAATCCTCAGACAGCAATACACGCTTAAAAATAGATAATAGAAGGTTTGCAAAGGATGTGTGCTGCGAGATGCTCTGAGGAGACTGACGGACCTCTCCCAACTCCAGCACACAGCCCAGGCAGCTCCAGCCCAGATCCCTGCCGGCACTCTCCCAGATCCTCCTATTAGTGCTGATTGTCCTAATGAGGACCAGGTGAGCACAGCCCTCCCCCAGTCGTGCACAGCTGGGAGCTGCTGGTGCCTGGGGCCCAGACTCTGCTTTGGGGGGGACGGCTTCTGGTTTTTGAGAAGTGTTTGACGCTGAAGCTGCTGGTGTTGATGTGGGGCTCTGACTGTGATCCTGCGGTCCAAACTGCAGGTGTGTGGCACATAGTGCAGCTGTATTTCACTTGTACCTGCTTTACTTTGAAGCCCCTTGGTGTAAGTGTGCTACAGGCACTGAGCTAACCGAGCAGCACTGGCAGAAGCCCTGTTCTAGAGCATGGTTGGCAGCTCCCAGTGCACTGCTGGCTGTTGGCTGGGCAGCTTCCATGCACCTCAGCTGTGGAGAAGCATCATGGCTTTGCCTCCTTCCCCAAGGTGTGTGCTGAACCACACTGCTCCCCTTTGTGCACAGTGGTTGGTCACAGATGAGTGGTGTCAGCAAGCAGATTCCCCCTGTGCTGTAAAGGAGATGTCACTCATTTGTCCTACATTGCTGGCCCTTTGCTATGGGAGACTCATTGAATGGCAGTGGCCTTACGAGATGTGGTTTTGCTCCTTCTAAGCCTCCTGACAGCCATCCTGTGGGCACCTGATGCTGGTGCTCTGGTGGCCACAAATGCCATGTGCAGGGCCACTCTGCTGTCACTGCTCTGACACAAATGTCCCCGCCACGCTGTGCGGTGTGGGCTCGGAGAGCCCAGAGCTCATTCCTGCTGAAGGGAACCTAGAGCTTCTTTCTGCCCCACAGCTATGTGTGCCACGTGGCACAGTGTGGCCCTGTGCAGGCAGTGCTGGTGGTGCTGCAGATAATCATGGTTTGGGTCACATGCAGAGAAATGCTCTTGTGCACTGACAAAAGCCTCACTAGTGCAGAGGCCCCTTCTGGAACAGCATGGCCCTCAAAACTGTGAATTAATTCAAAGCAAAGCAATGCAGGTTTTGTCACAGCCCGGGGACAGCCCAGGACACTCCACAGCACCAGTAGCAGCAGGAAATGCTGTGGTTTTATTCCTGCTCTGAGTTGGTGACCCTGCCTTTGTGCTGCCAGGCACCCACAGCGTGCTGCAGGAAGCCAGCACTGGCAGAGATTGAAACATCCACAGCAGAAATAATCAACCCCTTTGCTAGTAGGAGGAGACTGCTGATGCAGTTCATCTGACAGAGTTAAAAAGAAATGTCAAATCCCCTTCAGACATCCTGTGTGTGAGCCCTGCAGGTGCTGGGATCAGGGGGTGCTGAGGGCAGCAGAAGCCCATTGAGATGTCCTGGGCTGTGCCAGGAAGGGGCACAGCGAGGCTGGGTGCTCACACAGTAGGTACTTCCCTGCCACCAACACCTCTTGTTCTTTATTTTACTAATTCCATCACCAGAGTGCTTACCTCCATGGAGCTGCTCAGGGTGGCAGCACAAGGCAGGGACCATCCCCATTTCAATCCTACCCCATCCTCACTGCTGCTCCGTGAAGGACACAGCTCTGCCAGGCACAGGACGGGCTTTACCGCTCCCTGGCACACCCAGGACAGGCACTGTTCTCAGGGGAGGAAGCTCTGCAGTTGTGCAAATACCCGAACAAAGGCCTGGGAGACTCCTGTACCAACCCCTGTGAGCGGCAGCCACCGGGCAGACAGCAGCACGGCACAGCTCTGCCTGCACTCCCTCCCAGCTGCAGCTCCCCTCCACCCCAGATGTGCTGGGACACGTC